TGCACCATAAATCTACCACTTGCATCACACACACCAACTCCACTGTCTCCTCCCTGTGCTACTCGCCCAGGGGCTCACTTCCACCATGGTGAGGGTGCAGGTGCCATTGGGATACACTGGCTCGTAAGAGAGGTACTCCTGGAAGTCCTGAGGGACTAGGGCAGCTTCCCGCCGGGTGCAGGTGTCATCGCAGCACGCTGCCAGCTCTGGGACAAGGTGTGATAAGAACTGCCCTTTGGCTAGTTGCAGCGTGGACCAGGGGGCAAGAACGGGAACCAGGCCACCAGCTGCAGCACTGGGAAGAAAGAAGAGCAAGAGAAGAGCAACCACCTAGCAGTAAGTCATTGTGCCAGATCTGCAAAGGCAAACCAAGGAGAGCATTAAGCCTGCATGATTAGAGAGCCGGCCACCTGCTGCGGCTCGGGGCCTTGAGGATTATTGGATGCACGCAGCCTCGTGCCAGTTACCGGGTCATGCATGCTTAAGCTGTTACCACAGAAAGCAGAAGGGTTGGGACCTGCCTGGAGCTGGCTGAGTAAGGAGTGATAGGAATCTCACCCAGCACTGGCTTTGATCTCCTGGAGCTCTTCTGGACGGTGAGGCCCTGCAGTGCAACCCAGTGCTGCTGCAGAAATATCACGGGCGGGCTGATGAGTTTGCTCTGTCGCACCAGTCACCCTGTCTGACCTGGCATGAATTCCCCAGATTCCAGGGCTCAAGCCCCACTGATGGATGCATCCCACTGGCAGCCACCACAGCTCCACTCCACCAGCCAGTCACCTGTGGGAAAGAGGATCTGACAGTACCTGCTCGCTGGTCCTACAGGGAAGAAAAAGGTGCATTAACTCCTCAGGTTGAAGTATTTGGTGTCACAGAGCAGTGCCGAACAGCCAGCCTATTTTAACTCCCAAACATATCATTGTACCTAATTTAAAATTTAATCTGCTGCTACACCTCCACATGCCAGGGCCACCCCTGTTCTGGCAGGGGAGCAGTGCAGGGGGCAGTGGCAGCTCTCCCACCAACAGCTCAGCAGCACAGCCCTCCGTCTCCATCCTGCCCTGAGCTGGTGTACCCACATGGGCTCCTCTCGGCAGCCCTGCCAGAGGCTCTTCTCGGCAAGCAGGTGGTGTGCAGTGAGAGCTGCTCCGATGGCAAAGCCCCGTCTCTCCCAGAGGCAGCCAGGGGGCTGTGCCAGACACATTGCAGTGCATGCAGTTATGAAAATGGGCTGGAGCCAGGTGGGAAGGGAGGTTGAGAGCCACCAGGTCTCTGCACCCCCTGCACCCTGACCCCCCAGTGCTGCATCCCCAGCGTGACCCACAGCCAGAGCATGTCGCCATCAAATGGTGGCCTCTGCTGCAATGCTACCCCAAGTACCTTGCCTTCAGCATGGCTCAGGCCAAATGAGCCAACAACTCTCCAGCTCCCCTTTAAATGCAGGGGGGGCGGCAACAGGGAGATCACAAACCAAGCCCTGGCTGTAGTTCCCAGGGGGCCTGCCTGAGTGCCCCCCCCGCCGCCCCCACGCTGGCACTACAGCCAGCAAGATGGCACTGAGACAGGAGCCGTCCCTGCCTCCCCTGCCTGTGCTCCTGCCCACACTTGTGCCCAGTCTGCCTGGCACCCATGCAGCAGCAGAGGCACAGGCAAAGGAGCAGCTTCAGGCTTGTTTGGTTCCCTCCAGGGCTTTGCCAGCTGCTCTGCTGGGACTGGAGCCACCCCAGGGAGCCTCACAGCTGGGCGGCAGGCAGGAACACGGCCTCTGTTGCAGATCTGGGTGGAAACTCCCAGGCTGACGGGGCAAACCACAAGCAGCTATGTGAGGGCTGGGGACTGGGCCTCTTGGTGGCAAAGCCAGGCTCTGCTTTTTGCTGCATTTTCTCAAATCAGAAAATGGCCCCTTCCAGACTGGCACAGGAGGGGAAAGCCCACTTGCAGCCCACGACACCTGACAGCTTTCACCCAGGAACATGCTTCCTCCTGGCCCCTCTCTTCACAACGGAGCCCCGGGTTGCTATCAGAGCATCTTAGCATGCCACACGCAGGCTGGCGTGGCAGCAATTAAAGCAGTGGGAGCTGCACAGGCTTGTGCCAACAACATGCTGGGGCTCTGGCTGAGTGTTATTCACCCACACAAACTCATGCGCCGAGATGTACAGTAATGCCAGCGGGGCCTGGCAGAGGCAGAGGCACTGCCCGGCAGAGGATGTGGTGCCATCCCTGGCAGCCCTGCTAGCCCAGGCAGGGTGGAAGGAGGCAGTGGGCAGAGGAAGGGCAGGGTGCCCCCAGAGTGGGCACCCAGGGCTGGGGTGGCCCCCCCAGGCAGGCAGCCAAGGGCAGGGCGCCTGGCATGGGGCCTGGGGGTGGACAGGGCTGCTGCACTCCCGCCGACACCTGCACCCGTGGTGGAAGAGCACCGACCCACTGCACTGCCCCGGCACGGACTGACGGCTGCCAGACGCTGCTTCCCTGCCTGTCTGCCATGGTGGGAGCTGGCCTGGGCTTCCAGCACCCCGCTCCATGCCCAGAGCTCTGCCAGTCCCAATGGATTCCCAGGGTGGGATGCCGGTGCTCAGACACGCCCATGGGCACAAACAGACCCATGCACGGCCATGGGCATGAACATGCACATGTGCATGGGGACATGCGCACAAACAAAGAGACGGGGGGCTGCAGCAGTGCTGAGCCGGGGGGTGAGGTCTGCAGCCATATGATGGGCTCATTACCTGCTAGGCTTGGGCAACAGCACCCAAACTCAGGTGCATGGGTGCAGGGGGCCTGCAGGCTCAGGGCTCAGCAGGGCCCCATGTGCTGCCCCCAGCCAGAAGATACCCACCAGGCATGGCACACCAAGGCACAGACAGGACCAACAGCTGGAAGCATCTGTGAGGAGCCAGTGCCAGGAATCAGCTGCACCTGAGGGCTGGAGCCTGAGGCTCTGGCAGGGCACCCCAGCCTGCGGCAGCGGGGCAGGCAGTGCTCAGTGCAGGGCCAGAGCTGGTGCTGCAGCCCCCTTTACTCTGGGCACATTCCTGGAGAACACAGCCCTGGAGCTCACAGCTCCAGCTCAGGGGCCAGAGCTGATGGTGTGGGGCCCTCACTGCTGACCGTACAGTGACCCTGCTCCATTGCCAGTAAACAAGGAGAGATGCCAAAACTGTGCAAGATCCATCTGCCCTAAATTAGTTTATTTTGAAAAATAATCTGTCAGGGCTGATTTAGACCAGGCCAGAATCTGGGAAATCATCATCTTCTCGCATGGATGCAGCCTAGCTCCTGGCCATGCTTCCTCTGCAGGCCATTGCTGGAGGCACCAGGAGATATTTCCAAGGTCTTTACTGCAGTTGCTGCCCTGGGACCTGGTGACACATGCCCATGCAGCACAGGGCCTGCAAGGCAGGCCCATGGCAGGCTGGTGTCCTGCCCACAGGGACCAGCAGCGCTGGGTTGAGCTGGCCTAGACCACTGGTCCACTGTTCCTGGCTCATTGGCTCACTGTGCCAAGGGACAGTGTTAGGGCTGGTGGCTCCAGCCAGCAGGTTTTGGGCAGGTGCTCACCCAGCACAGCCAGCTGTGGCTGAGCCCTGCTCTACACTGGCAGCAGCCTGGCACACAGCCCAGTAGCATGTGGGGTCCTGCCCAGGGGTCTGTGAGCACAGGGCATCAATAGGAGATGCAGCAGGACCAACAGAGCCAAGCTTTTAAAAATATTTAGTTTAATAGGTATAAAAGTCAACATTAAAACAACAATTCTACAACGGCATACAAGGTTGGACATTGGTATGGCTACACTGTGGACATCTTCACAGACATCTGAGCTAGATGCTGACACCAAGCAGCATGGCCACGGCAGCACAGGGCTCAGCAAATGGGGATGCAAATCACAAATCCCAGGCACAAACAGAGTTTTGGCCAGCTGAGCTCCATGCTGCCAGGGAGCACCAGAATGCTGGCAGTACCAGAACAAGCTGCCCCAAGCCTGGTCACACAGCTACATCTATGGCTGCTATGTACACGCCCAGCACTTGGAAAAGACGGAGAGGAGGTCCTGACCACAGCCACATAGACAGAGAGAACAAATACAGCTGCACCATCACATGGGGCTTCCTGTGTGCAGGGAAAGCAGCATTTTTGACAGCAGCTTCCACAGCATGAGGGCCATGCCAGTGTCACTGCCCCTCAGCAGGGTTGGGGGGATGGCACAGACCAGCCCCGGGCCACCAGTGCTCCCACCTGGCCCGGGAACTTGTCTCCGTAACTTTTGCTCTGTCAGGGGAAAGGGCAGCGCACGACACAGCTCCACAGTCCTGACTCCGGGACTCGCTCCCCCTGGGAGAGGGCTTGGATGTACTATACAGATCATAACTTTGTACCCGAGCAGGAATACTGGCAGACGTCCACAGAGTGCCGGTGCCCAGTCCCTCAGACCACAGCAGCCACGGGGTTGAGGTCCAGTCCAGGGTGGTGCAGAGGCTTTTCTATTGTGGCACAGGGTTCCTCTGCCTTCTTCCCTTGCACGCTGTTCCGAATCCCATAGCCGAAGTAAATCGTAAAACCTGCAGGACAGTTTCCACAATGAAATGCACAGCAGTGGGCTGCCAGCGTAACACTCCCCCAGGGGCGACCCCGCGGGCACCGTGCTCTCCTCCACAGGACACCTACCCACAGCCATCCAGATGGCAAAACAAATCCAGGTGTCAGCACTCAGCTGTACCATGAGCAGGATGTTAATGAAGATGCTAAAGATGGGCAGGAGTGGGAGGAAAGGTACCTGCGAGAGACAAGACGTGCTGTGTTGGCTGCGCCTTGAGGGACCTGGCCAGGCTCAAGGATGCTCCTGGCCACAGAGGGATCCCACCCCTGCCACAGCCCAGAGAGCATCCGGGTACTTCCACACTGGGCACTGCACCTCGGAGAGCCATGTCTTGGGGCCCTGGGCTTTTCTGGACAGTGACTGCTGGGCAGCGAGCCCTGGCAGATCCTGCAATGGCACAGACCCTGCCAGGGGTCTGCAGGGGTGCAGACGCCTAGCTGCTGGGGGCTGCACTCACTTTGAAGTTCAACCGTGTGTTGCTCTGCGGCTGCCTCCAAACAATGATGGTGGGAATGAGCAGCGCCACGAAGAGCAGCACCAGGGCCACAATCCAGCCCACACTGGCATCCTTCAGTGCGGTCACCTTGAAAGTCAGGACCACGCAGATGACCGTGATCAGCATGGCTGCAAGAGAGGGGGCAGTCAGGGGGGATGCATGGCACGGAGCCTCCCTGGGACCCTGAGCCTCACCAATGGCTGGGCTGAGGCACCCAATCCTTTTGGTCAGGTATGGGTCCAGCACATGCTCTCTTCAACACCCACCCCAAAGCCTCAGGAAAGCACTTTGCCAGGGGAATTCACCAGCCTGGCAAGCCTGCACTCAGCTGGGCTTGAACCCAGCTCTGATGCTTACCCATACCTGGCTGAGCTGCCCCATTCTGGTTGCAGGATGAAGCCATTGATGGATGGATCAAATCTCGCTGGCCAAGCCTGAGAGCTCCCAGGGGGCTGGGGACCACCCTTACTGGGTGGCCAGTCTGGGCCACGCTCATCACAGGGAGCTCCCGTGACCACCCGCACAAGCCTGGCTTAGTGCCCACATACTCCATCAGCCCCCATATGCCCCAAACCCTAGCCTTGCCCTGTGCTTGGCACCCTGCTCAGGGCAGAGTCGTTCCAGCGCCCACTGGTGCTGCCAACAGCAGCTGGCAGCCTGCACTGCCTGGTCCCTCTCCTCTGCTCAGCATGCGCACCGGAGCATGTAGAGACACACCAAAATGCTCCAGCCCCTGCAGGGGGATGTCATCCGACAGCTCCCGTTAACTTACCAATGACCAAGACACAGATGTAGACAATGCGCCCCGAGAGCGCAGTGGGGGTGTCTGTGGGAGGGTTGAAGAGCATCGCTGGGGACAGCGTCTCTTTCTGCTGCGCGCTGGTGGTGGTGATGGTTGGGTTCATAATCACCCTCTCCTCCTCGTTCCCATTCAGCTCCAGCATTTCCATGGCCTTCGGGGAGTTCAGCTGCCTGGACTGGTACCTGAAAAGATGGGACAAGCTGCAGTGGAGCCCGAGGAACTTCCCAGCCCAGCAGGACAGTGAGCAGCACCCTCATACCCTTCCCACTCCTCCAGCCCCACATGCTACTCCAGCAGCAGCCCTGTGATGGCCACCCCACGGATGTGCCCAGAGACACTGTGCAGGCTCTCATCAGCCACCTCCATCTAGGGGGCTTGATGCTTCCCCAGGCTGCGTCCCCCCCAGGAAAAAGCTGTTGCCACAAGCCCCAGGCTCGACGCAAGGCACATCCACCCCAGGCACCGTCACACGAAAGGAGGCACCCACCGGAGGATGAGCACGCACAGCGCCACCAGGGAGTAGGCCAGCAGTGTGCCGATTGACATGAGGTCCACCAGGCCCTTCAGGTCAAACAGAGAGGCCATCACCGCTGCAACAAGGACATGCAGCATGAGCACAGCTTCAAACTGCCGCGGGGCCAAGTGTGAGACAGCAGCCAGGAGCCTTACCTGCCAAGAACCCTGAGGTGACGGTGGCTAAGAGAGGGGTCTTCGTGTGGCTGTTGATCTTGGAGAAGCACTTGAAGAGCAGCCCATCCTCTGCCATGGCATAGATCACACGGGGCATGGGGAACATGGAGCCCAGCAAGCTGCCATGGGGAGACATGGCTTAGGGCCTGCCAGGCAAGCTGTCCACACCCACAACTCAGATGGGGATGGGACCGGCTCTGTGCTGGGAGGAGGACAGCAGCCGGATGGGGCAAACCCCCAGCCCAGACAGGACATGTGCCGCTGGTCCTCATGCCATGCCAGGCGGTGCTAGGAATGGAGCCAGTCCTACCTGCTAGAGAGGGCACAGAGCGAGCCGACAGCAACAGCATAGCGAGCAGGCTCCCAGCCCACTGCCTTGAAAGCCTCAGGCAGGGGGCTCTCCTTGTTCAGAAGGAAGTAGGGCACCATGAGGGTCAGGGCGGCGGAGACCCCAAAATAAGCCACAAAGCAGATGAGGAGGGACACAATGATGCCAATGGGGATTGAGCGCTGTGGGTTCCTGGCTTCCTCCCCTGTGCAGAGACAAGAGGCAGCATCCGTCCCTGCTCCATGGCACAACACAGGGCAGCTGGCCCTGTGGATGAGCCACAGCAGGGACTTTCCATGGCAGCATGGGGGTAGGCAGCAGCAGACAGGCAATGTTGGAGAGGAAGGGTCCCCAGCCTTGCTGCTGCACTGGCAGAAGCTTTGGCACTGCTGAGAGCAGAGGCATGTGGCTGCAGCCCCAGCTCCCAGGCATGCAGCTGCCCCGCAGCTGGGCTCGCGTCCCCCCTGACCATGCCAGCCGTCTCCCCCCCAGCAGCTCCTGTTCCCCACAGAGCCCACTGAATGCAGATCCTCTCTGTGCGTGGGCACAGCAATGCAGCCACCGTGCCCGCTGCCCCCCACCCTTCGCAAAGGTGTGCTCTCCCACTGCACCGAAGGAGGCGGCTGCTGGGCAGCCCCTGGGGGCGGGGAGGTCAGGCGGAACAGCCTGTACCAGCCGCCCACTAAGTAGATTCCTGGGGGAATGAGAGGAAATTAAGAGGGCTCCCTGCGCTCCAGAGAGCAGCAGTTCTGCACAAAATCAGTCTTTAGAAAAACGTTTCTTGAAACTGGGAAATAACCAGGAGCAACTGCACTAGCGATTCCCAGCACTGTTGCAGCCTCGACTCAGCAGCGGAAAGGCTCCCCGCTGCCCCAGGAGCTGCCTGCACAGGCAGGGAGCAGCCCTGCTCCCTCTGTGTGGTGTGGGGAGCCCCTCTTCCTGGGGCAGGGCATGCTGTGAGCCCTTTTGTGCTGGCCCAGCTGGGGGCAGAGCCCCCACAGGAAAACCTCCCAGGATCAGTGGGATGGGCTGTTTCCCACACCATGGAGCATCCTCCCCGGTGGGTCCCAGCCAGCTGCTGGCTGTGCTAGGAAATGCCCACGCCCCCCTTGCCCAAGGTGGTACCTGTGGTGGCGATGCAGTCAAAGCCCACAAAGGCATAGAAACAGGTAGCAGCACCGGTCAGGATGCCTTCCAGTCCAAAGGGGACAAACCCACCAGAGCCGAAGACTTCTTTCCTGGAAAGGAGGGAGGAGAACAGCTGACGTGGGGTGCATGGACAGCAGGGCTGGTGCCAGCCCTTTGCCGGACCCTGGCCTGGGGCAGTTGCTCTCCTCACCTGACGTCATCCGGCGGATTCGGATACAAGCGGTTGTAGTCCTCCTCTGAGAGCTGCCAGTTCTTGATGTCTCCCTTCACGAAGCCGGTGATGATGACGAAGCCCAGCACCATTAGGTTCACCGCCGTGAAGATTTTGTTCACAAAGGTTGATTCGCTGACGCCAAAGGCCAGTAGTGCTGTGGGGAGGGAAGGGGTGAGTGGAGACCTGCCGGGCTCCCATAGCACCACCTGAGGTGCCACACACTCACCGGTGAGCGGCCCAATCAGGATCAGGGTGAAGAAGTCTGGGCGCTCGGCCAGCAACGGCACGTGCAGTGTGGTCTTGTTCATGAAGAAGGTGGAGATGTGGTTGCCAATGATGTTGTCGAATGCCGCGCTCCAGGCTCGAGCCACACTGGCTGTGCCTGATTGATGGCAAATCTGTGCATCAGTCCAAACCCAGGGCAGAGCGGCACCGGCCACCCCCACCCTAGCACCCACCTCCCTGCCAATCCCACCCCACACCTTGCTCCCACAGCACCACACACTGCCCCCACGAGCTCCCCATGCTGCCAGTGCGGTGCTGGAAGGAGCCTGGGCTCATGTGCCAGCACCCTGCCTGGCGCCGTACCTATCACGTAGGAGAGGATGAGGTTCCAGCCGGCTATGAAAGCCCAGATCTCACCAACGGTGACATAGCTGTAGAGGTAGGCAGAGCCGGCCTTGGGGACGCGGGCCCCAAACTCTGCATAGCAGAGTCCAGCCAGTACTGATGAGAAAGCAGCCACCAGGAAGCAGAGGATGATGGAGGGACCAGCCATGTCCTTGGCCACCTCCCCGGCCAGCACATATACACCAGCCCCCAGCGTGCTGCCCACCCCCAGGGCTATGAGGTCCAGCATGGAGAGGCAGCGAGCGAAATGTGTGTCCTCAGAGCTCAGATCCACCATGCGCCGGCGTACCAGCTTCTTCCCAAAGCTGGTCATTTCTCCTCTGAACATCTTGTCCTCTCCTGGGTGGTGCTCAGCTGCTCAAAACCCCTGCAAGAGAAGGGATGGTAGGAACGTGAAGCTGTGTGCTGCAGGCAGCAGGACCCACACTGCATGGAGCGGGGCAGGCAGTAATGCCCACAGGAGCTGTGCCTGCTCCCAGCCAACCCATCGGCACCAAGCCCCCACCACGCTGGTGGGGCAGAGACCGTGGTGGCTTCCTCCAAGGCACCCTGGGGCTGCACATAACCCACCTGCACAGCCCCTGTGCAGGAGAGCGAGCCAGGGATGAACCCAGCAAGTCCACGGTGGGAAACAGGCTCATTGCACAAGCCCTGTGTGGTCCCCACCGTGGGGTTCCCAGTCACGTCCCAGAACTTGCCCACTGTCTCCCAGCAACTCCCCACTGATTTGGCAGCCTGGAGATCCCTCAGCCCAAACTTGATTGCTGGCACATCCCTCCGGCCTGGTGCGTGGGTGTGTGCAGCAGGTGATGGCAGGGAGACAAAGCATTCCTCCAGTGGAGGATTTAGCAGGCTGGGCTGGCTCACTGGGACGCAGCCATTCCTCCTTTGCTCCCAACATCTGCACTACACCCTCCGCGTGGCCAGACACACAGCATGGGCCTCTGGCGCACATCCCTTGTATGCTGAGCAGCCCACATGCTCCACAGGCTGCAATCACCCTAAACGTATGGCGCTCCTGCTCCCTTGGCTCACAGCAGCCACCCATCCCCAAAAAACTCTGGGAGACACCCCATGCCTGCCCACCAGCGCCTTCTTCCTGCCAGCTGCTCCCTTCTTTGGGAAACGAAACACACTCCAGCCACGCACACAGGGCAGCAATGACACCATGCTGTACGGGTCAGCGTAAGGACACACAAGGATAACTTCGTGACCCTTTTCCACTGAGGGGGATTACCCAAGTTGCAGGGGCAGCCACTCACTCACCTACCTCTCTAAAATCTGCAAACCAGCCTGTTTCTGGAAAAACCTCCTCCTGAGCTGGCACATGCCACTTCTGGAGGCCATCCCAGCCTGGGGCAGCCTCTGGGCCAGGTTTCAAGGGAACAAGTGCCCTGGCACTGGCACACCACGTTCCCCCCCTCCCAGCCACTGCCTGGACAGCTCTGGATACTTTCCCTAGCTCTGCTCAATTGCTCCAAGGATTTCTGGTGCCCGACGTGAGCTCTGCAAACTACAAGCATGTGCTTAGCCCTCATTCCCAGAGCAGAGAAAAACATGCAAGTGGCCCCAAGCAGGAAAACGTGGGACAGTCTCCCCTTTCTAACCCCCACGGGCCCTGCTGCGCTGGGATTCACCGTGCCAGGAAAAAGGAAGACGCTAAGCACCCAGACCCACACCAGCACCCATCAGAGCCGGCCGAGGGAAAGCTGCTCAGGCGGCTGGGCTGGCACCGGGCAGGCTCAGCCCACGGCCGGAGAGATGCCTTGCAGAAAGCCAGGCTGGCGCCGAAATGGAAAGCGCGCAGGGAGCTGCGGGTGGGCAGG